TCTGTTGTGCTTGCCCCCCCCCCCCCCCCCCGCCAAGGCGATCAAAACAAAGAGTGTAAAACTATTACCTTTCAGGTGCAAGATTAAGCACTACCAACATTTCTTTAAAAGTACCCTTGTAAAATGCGATGGCTTTATGGAACATGTACCCATTCAGTTGAGGGCTACGTCTTTACTACTTTTTCAGGTAATGAAGTCAAAGGCACAAATGCTGTAGCATCTTCTAGGAGCACTGGACTGTCCAAGATACAGCTAGAAAAGGATAAGCACTTTGTTAGATTTAATAAAAGAACAAGAGAAACGAGAGACATAATGACAGAAAAAAGACCTTGAAAAAATCAATTCCCAATAAATTTGGGAAAATAGTTTTATTCTTATTACTCATGCTTTTTTAATTTGAAAGAGATGGGATAGTTCCTATCTACATTAGCAGCTGACACTTTTGGCATCAAATCAAATAAAAATTAGAATAAAACCCTGAACAGCAACCCCAAACGTGTTGTCACATTGTATTGAGACACTCTGAAGTCATGACTTCCAACTTATGGCCAAGACCTTATCACTGGAAACTCTCTAATGTAATATAAGGCAGCATACTGACAAAATTTCAGTTATTATTTTTTTTTTATGGATGCTAAAGTCATTGCTGAATACTAAGAAACTTTTATCAGTAATTAACAGATGCTGCTGCAAGTTAAAGTGGCTGTAGCATTTCCTGTGTGTTTTCTTCTTATATTACCAGTGGGTGGGTTTGGTCTACAGGCATCCAAACCCATTTCACCTCTCCTCTTTGATAAATGATGTATTTTTGTAGGAAATTCTTTTTAAAGTCATGGTGGTTTATCATCCTCTTTGGAGGAAAAAGTTCACAAGGGGAAAAGATACTTCAAGGTTTATTTCACAGTTGGGAAATGTTAACTACACCCTGCTGCTGTCAGTCTCCCCACATCTCTCTCTCTCACACATACCCGATCCATTTACATTCAGAACATGAGAAACAAGCTGAGGATATGATTCCAGCAGGGAAAAGATGAAATTCTAACAAAGCACTGTCATAATCCCACGGAAGCAGTGAACAGACTCGCACTGGCATCAACAGGAATTGAGCTGGATTCCCAGGAACCTCCTCTTCCCTTCATGCAGACCCTGCAAATGGGGCAAAGGCAGAGGGGCCTGAAATTCAGACAGAGAAGAAGAAAATGCTGTCCCAGTTTCTACCCACCTGAGATATCAGCATGACACAGGAGACTGGGATCAGCGCAAGCATGTGATATTGATGGCAATCTGCAAACACACTCTGCATGAGGAAGGTGGAGAAACATTACTGTATTAAGGCAGCGGTTGAAATGGGAAATGCATTTTGCCACATCAGGGGGATACTTCAATGCTAGAACTTTCCAAAATACACAAATCTTACTGGAATATGTAAATTCAGGAATCCTATCTGGACCATTTATTTGGAGGCATAGTTAAAGCCTGATATAGGCTCCACTTCTCAAAATCTCTTGAGTCTCAGCTATCCTTCCAAATAAAGTTTTTCTCTCCTAAAGTTATGAAGAGAAAATTGAAAAAGTAACGTATGTCACTGATGTAATCAGTGCAGGCATTGCTGCCTTATATTTACGTTTGTATCAGTGAATGCATAGCCAGATAAACAGAGGCAAGAGTCAGTAACATGAACAATGAGGGATACAGCAGACATTCTTATTTCATTTAATGCTCTTTTTCTGACTTTATAATGAATCGGAAAATACTTTTCACATGCGTTACATAAATTTATGCTTGACTTCAATGTGGTCCACTGTTATACTCCTATTACTATTGGGGCCACCTGAGTCTGCTTCTAATGGTTTTTACAGAGGAGTCATTGGCTACCCAGTGAACTGAAGTGCACTGGTTTATCAATAGGAACTGGACACAAGTTGAAAAGCCAAAGGCATTTGCCATGAAGTATTTTACAGCAATTTGTAAAGGTCAAAGTAATTTTGCTGTCTGTTTTTATTCCAAGCTTTCAGAAAATGTCGGGGACTGCTCTGGAGGCTTTTTTTTCCAGTGCTTTCTATGAGATCTAGCTGGCATTCAGTGCATCTCAGAATAAAATAGAGTGTGAGAGAGAACATCGCGTTTTAAAGTTACTGGCATTTCCTACTGCTATTAGAGCAAATGCAAGGTAAGAGTCTGACTATTCTTTCATGTTCCTCACTCTCATTCTCTCACTTTTCCCCTCCATGCTTTCATAGTTTCTCATACATATTCCTAAAGAGATTACTTTATAAACTCTTTTCCCGCCTACTTCCTGCTATCGCCTGCAAGTATCTGTAAGCCACTGTTTGTTTCTACATCCTTGTCACTAATTCCAAAAAAAAAATGTCCTGCAGCTTGACTTTTTGGCATAGCTTAAGAATTTTTTTTTTTTTTTGAAATTCAGAAAAACTTCCAGCAAGCGAAAGTACCTACTTCATGAGATGCATGAGTGAGTAAAAGCACTGTCGGTGAAATAACTTGAACAATTTATCAGGCCAAATATCAAGGAGAAATAAACAATACATCATTTCATACCAAAGGGTATCACTGTCTGAACTTAAGTGTTAGGAGCTACTTTTATATGTGCAAATATATATACAATATGGGGCATGACTGAAAAAGTAAGTGATATGAAAAATAATGGAGGAAAACACAAGAAACTGGAAAAAAAAACAGGAGAAATCAGGACACTGAATAGAATAAAAATCTTACAGAGAGTAAGAATCTTAAAGGGAAAACGAAATAAGTCAGGTTTGCTAGAGAAGCAGAAGGATAAAAGCATCATACAACTTGGTGAAGAACGTACAAAAATTAGGCAGGCAAAATATATTAAAAGAAGCTCAACTCCTAAAGCAGGCACCAGGAACCAAAGTATTAACATAGTATTAAATTACATTTCATGGAAACACAATCTAGGCAGTGATGCAAACACTGGAAAAGTTTATGAGTGAATAAACAACTAATTGCTAATGATAGCATGAACGTACAAAAGGAGTATTTTGAAAATGTGCTAAACCTTGCACTCCGTTCAGGTACAAACATTGCACCATGTAAGGCAGCATGTGGTACAAGATGGGTTCAAGGATGGATCCTCCAAACGGAGAAGAAGCAGGAATATGAAGCAGAGAATTTATACTCTATGACTTCAGTGTTCACATATTCTGTGACAAAGGTGCTTAACCGAACTGCTGAAGTGACCAAAATAACATTGTGTTATACAAAAATCGGAACTGACCATACTTCGGACCATTAAGTATAACATTCTGTAAATCTGATGATTCTGCATAAGTAAACCAGGTTAGAAGAACAGTTCAACAATTTCTATGACAGGCAGCAGGAGTGGAGAAATTTTTAAGACAAATGAGAAACATAAGAAGAAAATAGGATATGAAATCAAAATGATGGATTGGCTCTCGGGAATAATTTTTACTGAGGGACTGTGGAGCTTCCATACCCCTTGGCAGTTCTTAGGGTTGTGTGAGTTCCAAGGAAATGACAGCACATCTGTGCCATTTGCTCTGTCATCAGTTCTTACGGGCCTGTGAAAATCCTTGATCCAAAAGTTTATGATGACATGGAGTTTGCAAAAGGCAAAGAGAAGACAGACTGCTCAGAGAAGATCGCAGAAACACAGCTATGGCCAGTCCAACCACCAACTGATGGTCCGACATAGTAAGACGCTAATGCTCTAGGCTTGATAGTAGAATAGAACATAAAACTACCTATGTCTCAATCTTCCTATGCTTTCAAATATATTTGGTGTTGAAAACAAGCCTTTTACTATCATTTCCAGCCATGAAGTCCATTTTTAGAGGACAGTTGTTAATGACATGCACATTAACTTCATCATAGTTATATCAACTACTAATTATAGAGAAGAGGCTTGGAATATAACCACATACAAATAAAACATTCAGTTTTCTTGATTATAACAGAAAATAAGGAACAGAGCAATTCTGATTCATTTATAGATAAAACTTCAAAATATTTCTCCCTTTGAAGGGGGCAACCACAGACAACTTCACTCCAGGCCTTGCTTAGAACTCATCTTACTAAACACAGAGTCAGAACACGTGAAACAGCAATTCCAAAAATCTGCTAGTTTATAAACTAAAAAAATAGATCCCTGAGGAGAGAGAAATATACTTCTGCTGAAATAGGTATGACCTCAGATACTTCAACGATTCTCTCAAATTAAAATTAACTCCTTTGCATGACTATGTCTGTGCAGCAATAAAGTAAAAGCTAATTCTGTAACCAATGATTTTAACAACTTTGCCACTAACATATGAGGGGAAAAATTTTCAACACATTCCATGTATTTCACCTAGGAGACTGATGCTGACTGTGAATATTACAGCAGCAAAGTCTGTAGGTTGTGTTTTCCTTGCTTATATCTTCCCCAGATTGGTATTTGGTCATTATTTCAATCCCATCACACCAGCCATTAACATTTCAGAAAAGCTGTGGTTTAGCTATGTTCAAATAAAAATACAGGTACTATCCCTCCACAGTTGAACATAACAGTAGTGCTCAAGGAAAGTAATCCACCACTGACTCAGAAATTTCTCTGTGTAAAGAATTTTTCATTTCTCACAAATAAAGGAGGCAGCCGGAGCTCCTCCATGTGTGTATATATGTACCTTCTTGGTGCAATCACTACTTTCTGGGTTACTGTGGGTTACTATGGGACAAGGGTATTTTTTTTAATTGACTTTAGATTACACTGCTTGCGCTATCTGAAACAAATGGAAACAATGGTATATATATCCTCCTTGCACTTTACACTGTACTTTGCAAAGTATGTGTATGCCTGCTTTTCCCAGAGTGACATTCTGCCATATCGAATGCAATCCCCCTCAGCCATGAGGAAGTTATAGGTACAGTAATATTCTGTTATAAAAATTAGTTTGGACATCTCATCTTTTACATAATCAGGCTCTTAATGCTTACATCTATTTAACAGTGAACAGTTACACTCAATAATGTGTGCAAGGGCATCACTCCAATTTTGCTAAAAATTCTGACTGAAATTTGAGAGGCAGAACAGGCTGGTTATAGCTGGTTTTCCTCACTGCTTTACCAACTGTAATAATCTTGCTTCCATGTTAAAAGGGGAAAAAATGAATAGGTATGGAATCATTTCTTATCAAAAGTGGAAATAAAATCAAAGTATAATTTATATTCTGATCCTTATCATC